CCACCTTAGGTGTATGTGGCTGGCGCCTTAGCCACTTGAGCCACAGGTGCTGAGCCGACACCTGGCTATTTTTTGGTTGCAGCCATCATTGTTGTTTGGCCGGCCTGGGCTGGATTCGAACCCGCCACCTTAGGTGTATGTGGCTGGTGCCTTAGCCACTTGAGCCACAGGTGCCGAGACTGTTAGTTCAGTTTTATTGAAACCCAGCCATGCATATTCATGTATATGTTGTCTACAGCAGAGCCAAACAGTGGAAACAGAGATTGAAAAGCCTAAAATATTTACCATCTGGCCCTTTATAGAGGAAGTTTGCTGACCCCAGGGCAAGAGCTAAGAATGACACACAACCTCCATCGTTTCATGTCAGACACAAAGTCCTAAATACAGACAGTGAACTTCATTACAAAAGTAGCGGAAAATTCCATTGAGGATGAAAAGCCACTCCTCCTTTGTTCAAACTTTCTGATTTCTTTATTGACAAAAGCCAACTTAAGGTAATTAAAAATGGCTTCTGCATTTTGTCTGAAATCATGTTGATAAATTCATCTTTGAGACTGCAATAGAGCAACAAAAAGACATTGGACTTCAAGTTAGAAGACCAAGATTGTAATCAATTTGCTTTTAAATTGTTAAACTGGGTTGTAGTGGCTCACCTCTATCATTCCAGCTGAGGGATGCAGAGGCAAGAAGATCTCTTAATGCCAGGAGTTCAATGTCTGCCCAGACAACACAGCGAGACCCTCCCCTCAATACATAAATAGTTAAAAATTTATTTAACAATACCTTTTTTAGTCTTTCTAAAAAAAGACTGTGTTTCTAATCTGTGTTATTTTATTAAAAAGCTTATGGATGGCGCCTATGGCTCAGTGAGTAGGGCGCCCGGCCCCATATACTGAGGGTAGAGGGTTTGAACCCAGCTTTCGCCAAACTGCAACAACAAAAAAAATAGCTGGGTGTTGTGGCAGGCACCTGTAGTCCCAGCTACTTGGGAGGCTGAGGCAAGAGAATCACCTAAGCCCAGGAATTGGAGGTTGCTGTGAGCTGTGATACCACAGTATTCTACTGAGGGTGACAAAATGAGACCCTGTCTCTAAAAAAAGCAAAAAACTATTAAAAGCACTACAATTATTGGTAAAATAATCAAAGTGTTTTTAAGCAGAGAAGTCGATATAAACTAAAATGTGTTCCCTTGCCCAAAATATAATTATTAAAAGTCCTCTGGTTAATTTTAAACTACTAAAGGGAATAAAAGGCACCCAGCTAATTTGAGTGTCCCCTTCTAAAACAGGAGCATTAAATTAAATCATCTCTAAAGTCCTGGCTAGCACTGGTAATTTATGCCAAATAACTAGCCTCAGTTTTTTGATCTGTAAAATTGGATTAATAATGGAATCTTCTTCCAATGGTTACTATAAGGATTAAATAAATTAATCCATGTATAAGGGCTTAGAATAGCACTAAATACATTTAGCTAGCATTATTATTATTATTCTATCCAGGCATTTTATTAAAAAACAATGGTTGGACATCTCTGGGACAAGACGTATATTAGAAAATAGGAATACAGAGATAAAATAGAAGTTGATTCTCTTATATTAGGTAAGAATGAATGAAAGTGAGGTCTACAGAGTTTTCAGCATGTCTATCAATTGATGGTTCTCTGAGATAATGGTCAAATGATGCTCTGCATGTCTACTCTGCTAATTCTTATTAAATTAATTAATTTAATTTAATTTCAATTTTGAGACAGGGTCTCACTCTGTCACCTAGGCTGGAGAGCAGAGAGCACAATCATAGCTCACTGCATCTTCAAATTCCTAGGGCCAAATGATCTTCCTACCTTAGCCTCTCAAGTTGTTGAGATTACAAGTATGAGCCACCCTGCCTGGCTTAATTGTTATTTCTGAATAATGATTATTGTTAAAAATGTCCAAATATCACTGTTATTAAGGATCTTTCCATTTATGTTTCAAAAGACAAAGTTCAGTGTTGTCTAAAAGAATTATTTATGCGTTGATCTCTGATGGAAGAATAGAAAAATGTTAGCCAGTCTGGTAATGGACATGAAATACAAGCCTTCTGAACCAAACAAACTTGCCAAAGAAGTGTAGTTTCCTCTATGTATTCATTCCTCAAATGTTTGCTGAGTGCCTGCTAAGGAACTCAGGAGTAGTGTCTACTCCAATGATTAGTGACAAGAAATGGTCCCTGCCTTAAGGAGACAGCAGGGGGATAAGCCAGCAACTCTAATAACATATGATGAGTACTATAATGAGGAAGCCCAGTGTGCTACAGAAGGAACACAAATCTAGATAGTCCAGGGGATTCGAGGAAGAAATATTTAAGCTATGACCTGAAAAATAAGTGGGAGTTCATTAAGCACAAGAAGCAGAGACTGAATACAGGGAACAAAACGAGAGGTGGGAGAAAACAGGTCAGAAAAACTAAGAGCCTTTCAATCTTGCTGGGACATAACAAGTGAAGAGGAGTGGCCAAAGATGGCATTGGAGGCCATCAAAATGCTGTGCATTCTGGTGGCAACGAGAAGCCGCTAAGAATTCCAATCATAAATATGCAAAACTCGTAACCAAAGTAGAAATAATTAACGAGTTTGATTTGATCTAAGCAGAAACACCATTCATTTATACTTTCTGTGCCTACCACTAGCTGTAGTCTCTCTTGTATTTTAACTTATTTATAGCTTAATTATTATACATGTAAGAGTGGAATATAAAAATATTTGCTTTCTTATTTACAACATGAGTGCCTGTATGTTGGGTCTCTTCACTACTAAACACCACTGTAGCTGACAAGACAACACATCCCTAGCCATGACCAGAGGGCTTAGTGCAGCAGTGATGATAGTCGGAGCTGAGGGCTTGAGGTTAAATCCCATCCAGTTCCATCACTCCCTGGATGCCATTTAATCTCTCCCCATCTGCAGTGAGGAATGTTTCTCCTCCTGTACAATGGCACAGAGCATCAGTGTTCAGCTCTAAGAGAATTTGGAAGCTCTCTCCCAGGTGGAATTTCACCTCTTACCTGAATCTCAAGGATGGGATTATAAATCACAATCTCCTGTGTTGTTTGGAGCCAGCTTTAAAGCAACAAGGGCAAGGTAGAGAACTCTAGAAGGCCACAATGGAAATGTCTCAGGAGCATTAACTAGACCTATAGACTTCTCTACTCTAAACGGGCCATTAGCACAGACCTTTGGAACAAAGGAGCTTTGGGGCTCCTTTGAAAAAAGGAAACACATTACATCAAGGCATTATTATGAGTTATGCTGACTGCCACTTATAAACCTAAACATTTTTTTTTTTTTTTGGAGACAGAGTCTTACTATGTCACCATCGGTACAGTGTGGTGATGTCACAGCTCACAGCAAACTCAAATTCTTGGGCTCAAGCGATTCTCTTGCCTCAGCTTCCCAAGTAACTGGGACTATAGGTGCCCACCACAATGCCTGGCTATTTTTTGTTGCAGTTGTCATTGTTGTTTAGCAGGCTCAGGCAGGGCTCAACCTGCCAGCCCCGGTGTACATGGCTGGCACCGTAACCACTGAGCTACGGGAGCCAAGCCAGGCCTAAACATTTTGAATGGATACTCTTGGTGAATTCACTTTATGGGTCATTTTCCCATTTTCCAATTAAACAAACAAAAAAACCCACTTCATTAAAAAAAAATTTTTTTTTACTCCAAATCTCTATAATCTCCAAAAATTGGTTTATTACTAAAATGCCTTAAATTTTTATTAAAATGTTTTATCTGTCATAATACATATTTAATCATACTTCAATGTGCGCTGACTCTGATATCAGAATTAGCTATAGCCACAGAAGAATAACCTTAGTTTATAAAATATAATACTCAAACAGCTCAAATTCTAATTGCTAAGAATTCCCCCTTTTTTTTTTTTTTTTTTTTGACGGAGCCTCAAGCTATCCCCCTGGGTAGAGTGCCATGGCATCACGCTCACAGCAACCTCCAACTCCTGGGCTCAAGCGAGTCTCCTGCCTCAGCCTCCCAAGTAGCTGGGACTACAGGTGCCCGCCACAACGCCTGGCCATTTTTTGGTTGCAGCCATCATTGTTGTTTGGCGGGCCTGGGCTGGGGATTCAAACCCACCACCTTAGGTGTATGTGGCTGGCGCCTTAGTCGCTTGAGCCACAGGCGCCGAGCCCCCTTTTTTTTAATCATTAACACAATTTTATATCTTCAGGAACACTCACAGTTCCATTTCTAACCTTTCTAAACAGGAATAAAAAATGTTCTCTTGCAACTCAGTAACTTAGAAGAAATTTCCAATAAGTTAAACTATTTCATATCATTGCAATCTTCCCCATTCTCCTCCTAGGCAGTGTAAATAGCCAAACACACTTATGCTTTATGGACTTTTGAAAACTCTTCTGCCCAAGGCTAACAGTGAACTTGTGACATTCAGTGAAGCTCTCCCTAGTAACACTCAAAGCAACTCTCTTGTGTGGTAGTGCTCAGAGTAATGATATTCAAAGACATGAGTCTACCCCTAGCTCTTTCTCTCCCTCGTTATGTGTTATTTGCCCACACAGCCAGAATTGCATGGCGTATGGATCATCAAAAGGCTGCCTTTCTGCGTCTCAAATCCCATTCAGTACAGTGACAATCAACGACTTTCATCGATCCAACTCAGAGTGACGTTTAAATAAGAAAACATATTTGAAAGTGCTTAGAAAACTTTTTAGTACTTTCCAAAAAGTATGGGGTCATTATTAAACAATCCTTTTTGACTAGAAAAGAAGCTTGTTCTTTCTTCCAAAAAAGGTGAACTCATATGAGGTCTTTTTAAAAAATAATTGAAGCTAAAATTATACTGGATATTCTCTAAAAATATATTTATACTAAAGATGTTCCAATCCAGTTAATCGGTTGGACTTGCAGCTGTGGTTAAGGGGTTCCCATCAACAAGTAGAAGGTCAGAGCAACAATCAGAAGCAAACAAAACGGAGAAGAGAAGGTTTGATAGGCAGCTGATGGCATAAAAATATCTTCATACTTGTAAATACTGACAACACGCTCTGAAGCTGGCGGTGAGTCTATATCATGTCGGGTGATAGAGCCTTTGAGAAAGAAATAGAAAGGGAGAGGCAGTCGAAAACAGTTCAGATTTAAAATAGTATAGGCAAACAACAGAAAAATTAAAGAAAAGTCTTCAGTATTAAATAAACAACGATTATAAAGATCTGGAAAGAGGTATTAGAGTTATCATCTTCTGTGAAAAACACAGAAGTTAGCTAAATTTATCCCAAAAAACTGATTCTCATGAATCTATACACTACCTCTGAGAAAGAACCGTGCTGTGGGTCTGGCTACTGGCATCCTAGTTCTAAGACTGCTACTCGGGCAATATCGTGGGAATGCCTTCTTTGAATGTCTCTAATGAGTTTCATTTTATTAGTACCAAATGGAAAACTACATTTGGATTTCAAACAGCAGAGACTGCTAATTTTTTTCTCTCAAATCTCTCTTTCATATATAGATCATCAACTCCTGACTGCACTAGTGAAGTCTCTCTTTCAGATGGAAGCCCTCTTTTGTTTTCTGCCCAGGCCAGGCTGGAGGGGGTATGGTAGGTTGGGTGTGTGTCTGTGTGTGTGTGTGTCTGGCAGAGCGAGGAGTATGGGTACCGACAGTAGGATGATTAAGATACCAAACAAGTCTTTGGAGGGGAAACTTTTTGACCCGCTTACAAATAGAAAGAAGTACAGGCTGTGTGTACAAGATGCTTAATAAGCTGAGCTGTTTAGAAGCACCTGATCTCCTGAATAATCCCCAAGAGACTTGTGTTAGGGAGACTAAGGCATATGAGTTCAGTGCAAAGATATCCTTAGGAATAATGCTCAGAGTGAGGGTTTTTAATGTACTCTCTGCTAGAGAAGCCCTGATGAACTTGATGTGTCTAATGCTTGCACCACCGTCCATGCTGGCTTCTGTTAGGGCAAATCAAACTCCTTGAGTGGGCATAGGGACTTTTCTCTTCTACCTAGCCTCAGCTCCCAGCATGGGCTGCTAGGCTTAATCATGCACCTACAGTTCACACCTACCTTTTTTAAAGGAAGGAAATCTAATTCCATACCCCTTTCCAGCCTTTGTTCAAAGTTTTCCCCTTTAAGAGACTTCAAAGAATGGATTTGATCAATAGAAAGGCATTAAAAGGGCATTCAGGAAGTGAGAAAGGCACAACAAGCCTGTCTGGGAGGTAGGAATGTGACAGTTTTGCTATGAATGAGAATAACAACAGAAATTTTAAGGAAGTTTATCAGGTAAAGCAAGGCCAGATTTGGAGAGAGCGTTGAACTTTAGGCTAGGCTGCCACATAGGAAAGAAGATGCCCTTCTCAAAATATAACACTTGCCAATTAGTAAAGCAATTTCAAACACTTGCTTTCATTTCACCCTTATAATAATCCTAAGGAGTAGGCATTATTATTATTCCCATTTTAGTTACAAGGAAATGAATTTCAGAATTAAGACAACAGGCTAAATATTATATAGCTACCAAGGGGTAGAACCAATATCAGACTCAAATTTTTAGACTCCAAATCTCATCACTTTAAATGAGTCAATTTCTCTAGGCTGAGATATAATTTATTTCCCAGGGTATTGAAAGTACTTGAAGATATAACTGCAAAGCCATAGTTGGTAGTCTGGGAAATCAGCAAATGAAAAAAGTGCCATCAATTTGGAGGCATTCAAGTGTTTTCCAAATGGCAACAGGCAAAACAAAGTACATTATATAATCTCTAAACTGGTCAATGGAAATAAATTGAAGGGAAAAAAAACCAACCAGATCAGGTTAGGCAACAGATAGTAAAGAAAGATGCAATTTCCAGGAGCCAGAATGCATTTTCAGTACAAGGACTGCAAACCTCACTCATTTCCATTCTTGGTCAGGCCTTTAGGCTGATCAACCAGGAGGAATACGCAAGACACAGTGTGACTTGATTTTAGCAGGCTTTAAAAGGTCTCGCAATATTCTTGGGTCTTCACTGGGGAAATGCTCAAGAGCCTTGTCATCCAAAACCAGGTCATGAAGAAACCAACATCCCCGGGAGCTTGTGATGGGCAGAATCTCAGGCCCCAACTTACGCCTACAGACAACTGCATTTTAACAACACAGGTAGGTAGTTCCTACACACATGAAAATTTAAGGAGTAATGGGCTGAACTATAGGACGATTTGATGAATATGTGATTACCAGAATAGTCACAAAGCAAGCACTAATAAAATGCTTGGGGTCAACCCCTGGAGAAGTCTTCAGAAGCGCTTTCCAATTCAGTATTTTTAGTATTTACAGCATAGAAGTTGAGAGTAGTCCCTAACTTTGGAGTCAGACAGTTCAAGGATTAAATTTCACTTCTTCCATTAATTAGTTGTATGGCCTTGAGCAAGTTTCTTAATGTCTCTCAAACAAGGGCAATAATACCTAGCCCTCTTGAGGATTCATCGAGGAATAAATGAGAATGATGTGAGAATAAACGAGAGCCCATATCCCACCTACAGCAGACGTGATCTGTTTCACTAAGCTCATAACTCATGATGCACTGTCCTGCCTGTTCTGCTCTAACTTTCCACGGACACCCCCTGTTCATTTGTTTGTCCATCTGTAGAGTAAGTCCATTATAACCTTTGGAAGGCAGGAGTCACCTCTCCTTTTTCTTTACAATAAGCATCCAGGGGGCTTATTGCTCTCCTGTGCACAGCTTCAGTTAACAATGAACACAGCACAGTGGTGTCTGGTGCTTAATCCCAATGCTAAAAAAGCTTACCCTGAATGGCTGGACCCCATGCAAACAGATAATACCAACTCAAATGCAGATCAACAATTGTTTCATCTCGGGGAACATTCACAGGGCGTTTAAATCTGCAGGTGACACGATTATTCTCAAAAACTCCTTCTTCATCTCTGGCAGGATTTCTCTGAATCTCCTTTGCCCACTGGCCTACATTGTAGAAGTGCTGTATGCGGACCCTGCCATTGTCATCATGGACACAGGCCATGACATCGTCACCACCCTAACACGAAAAATAAGAAGAAAAAAGTCAAAGGTTCGTGTTTTACAAATTTGTCACCAGGTATAAACATTCCATCACCTCTGTAACTGGAAATCCCACTAAAAAATTATTTTAAATGCCATTAAAAAGCCTTAACCAAGGGACCAAAGTTAGCAGCACAAGAACTAGCATGATGCTGGAAGAAGAAGAAATCACCACCTATTCGGTATTCCTGCCCCAAACACAAACTAACCTAATTATCTATTCATGAGAAGACAATCAGACAAATGCAAACAGCCTATAATCTTCAAAGGAGTCAATGGGAAAGATCAAAAAAAAAAAAAAGGAAAAAAGAAAAAGATAAGAAACTACTTTAGAATAAAGAAGACTAGCCATCCTGGGCAAGAGAGAGACTCCATCTCCACTAAAAATGGCAAAATGAGGCTGGGCATTGTGGCTCACGCCTGTAATCCTAGCACTCTAGGAGGCCAAGGAGGGT